AAACGCAGGATAAGTGTTATCCAACTTAGACCAAGCCAAGCCAAGCCAAGACAGTCCCTAAGCATAGTCCATGCCAAGACAGTCATGTGTACCAAACGAGCCCTTTGAGTTTTTGTAAGTCAAAATAAGATTTTTAAAGTTTTAGGATGAAGAGAATGTCACAAAGGAGTTCCTAAAAAATTTCGGTGTAATTTTCAGATTTATAATGTATTTATTATGAATTTTGGAAGTTAAATCATAAAAAAATAATAATGTATTTATTATGAATTTTCATGCCAAAACTACCCTCTTATTTTTTCTAATAACACAAAAATACCCCTGCGTTTTGTGTGTGGTGTGCCTCCTCGCTGGGATTGGGTTCATGCTGTAAGATCTGAAAATATTATAATGAATAATTGTTATTGAATGATTGTGTATACAATGATATATCGGCATAGGATGTATCGCCTGATTAAAATATCAAAATGGTAGAGGCCAGCAAGACTTTTAAGTCTCCTCCTGAGAGTTAAAGAAGAAGCTATATAACTCCTCTGCCTGTCTCTGCTTGCTATTGCTGTCTTGTATTGCAAATCTGCATTCATCATCTCCTTCTCCTTCTACCTACGAGAGAAGCTCTGTGCCTGTGCGTCTTCATCCATCTTCAGTCTCTTCTTCTCGTTTCTTAATTAATTAACTAGCATTAATATGATCTGCTGTTTGTCTTGCGCAGGGTTAAGGAAACTAAGATGGCAGTAGAGCCTGTGCTTACTTTTGCGGCCGAGGGAATACTGACAAAGCTGACTGACCTTGCTGCTCACGAAATCAGTCTTGCCTGGGGATTCAAAGCTGAACTAAAGCGGCTTCGCAAAACACTGTCCACCATTGAAGGTTACTTAGCCGACGTTGCCCAGGGACCACAAGGTCGGAGCAAGTCCGTAGAAGATTGGGTGACGAATCTTCAACGCCTAGCTCAAGATGCAGATGATGTCTTGGATGAATTCAACTATGAACTTCTCCGGCGCAAAGTAGAAATCCGAAATCATATGAAGAAAAAGGTACTCAACTTCTTTTCACTCTCCAATCCGGTTGCATTCCGCCTTAAAATTGCACATAAAATTCAGAAGATCAATGCATCCTTGGTGGATCTCAAGAGCGAGGCTCCTGTCATTGGACTAGTTTCCAAGAAAATAGATGCAGCCCCTCAAGGAATTACAGGACGCATACAAACCGACTCATTTCCTGAAAAAGATGGAATCATCGTTGGCAGGGAGGAGGTTGTGTCAAACATAGTTACAACCTTGACCAACTCCAACATCAATCAAGAAAATCTTGCTGTTATGACCATTGTGGGAATGGCCGGCCTAGGAAAGACAACTTTGGCCAAGTCTATATACAATGATAATTCTATAAAAGGGTATTTTGATCCAAAAGTATGGGTGTGCGTATCTGATCCTTTTGACGTCAAATTGATTTTAATTTCCATGTTAGAATCTCTTAGCCCATTAAAAGCCGCTGTAAAACAGAGTTTGGATGCACTGCTTAAACACCTTCAAGAAGAGCTGAAAGGGAAAAAATACTTGCTGGTACTTGATGATGTCTGGAATGACGATTCTACACAATGGAATGACTTGATGGATTGTTTGTTAAAGCTTGATTCTGCTCGGGGAAGCACAATTATTGTCACTACCCGCAGTGCCAAAGTTGCATCAATCTCAGAGAAAAAACTTCCACGACAGGATTTGGAACTTCTATCAACAGATGAATGCTGGTCCATATTGAAACATGCAGCTTGCTCAGATGGTAGTTCTGATATACCTCTTCATTTAGAGAGTATTGGACGGGAGATTGCTAAAAAATGTGAAGGTCTACCATTGATGGCAAAGGTACACGTACTATATTATATTTTTCTCTCTTTTTTCTTCTGATACAAGCATTGCTTACAGCAGGCATTTTTATTTGTTTATAATTTAATAGATTGTTGGATGAGTTCTTGGCATTTAGGGATCATATCATGAATGGGTTACTTTGAATATTGCATTGATGCATTTTCATGTAGAAGGAAATAACAAGGTCTGAAAGAAGAGAATAGTTTCATGTCATCATGCCCATCACAATCTCTTTCTTCACAATCACTTTATTAAATAGAAATCAACAAAGATGTTCCAGAAGAGATTTGCACTAGTACCCCACTGGAAAAGCCCTTTAGATTCCAACTCTTGGCTTAATTTTAGCGTCCAATTGTCTAAAAAAGTGGATTATAGAAACTAATCCAACCAATTGGAGATTTAATTACACACCTAAAACTTAATACAAGTTTTTTTTCTTTCTTTCTTTTCCTTCTAAAGAAAGAAAAACAAATTTTGGGCAACAAGTACCATGCTTAAGTGCAATAACTAACAGACATAATGGTTTGCACAAAACAAAGAAATAAGCTAGTTTTTGTTTTCCAAATTTACCCTTATTAAATGAAATATTTAATTTAAATATATTGACTTCCCTAATTTCTTCAATTAAAAAACTATTTTCTCTCTCCATCTCACTCTCAATCCTCTCTCTATCCTTTGCAGCGCCCCACAACCCTTCTTCTACCTCCCCACTTCTCCCCAAAACAAACACTGAAAGAAACCCACTTCCTCTCCCCCTCATTACCACCAAACAGATTTCCCCCACCTGACCTCCTTCGCTTTCTCTGTTGTTTGTAATTGAACAATTTTTTATTTTATTTCTCAAATCTCACCACCATAGCACTAATTTCTATTTTTATTTGGTTTTGTTTATAATAAAAAAAGTGTTTGAACTTTCATGATGGAAGCAAAGGGTCTATAGAGGTTAGAGAGAGACAAAAAATCTTGAAATTTTTTTTTTCTCATCGCACAAATGAGAGAGAGAGAGAGAGAGAGAGAGAGAGGGGTAAGGCTGTGTCGTGGGTGGGTGGGGGTGGCTTGGGATCGGGCTGTGATGATTTTTGACTTTTTAGTTTCTGTCAAGGTCATATATGGAAATACAATTTAATGTTTTTTCAAAATTAAAAACATTGTTTTGAGTGGGAGAGAAGTGCTACATGTCATTATATGACAAGAGAGAAGGTATAATGACAAGAGAGAAGGTTCAAAGGAGAATATTAGAGAGAAGTTGTTAGTATTCTCCTAAAAATATTTAACATTTTAAAAATCTAAAAAAGATGATTTAAAATTTTAGTGTAAGAATAAAAAAAAGTCAATAAAGCTTAAATTAAAAATAAAAACTATTTGTAAGTCCCCCGAGACCTCCCTCTGGCTCTCTTTCTATGCGAACCGGCGGGCCTACCACTTGCCAACACTTTGATTCCCTTCAAATCACATAAAATTAATAAAGAGCAAAAGCAATTAAAAAATTTAAAAAGAAAGAAAGCACATGCACAAGAAAAGAAAAAAAGAAAAAACAGAGCAAGTCAGCCTCAAAGAAAACTTTGCTTGTCTCAAAACCCACCGAACTCTTTTATTGTGGCCCGATTTGATTTATTCCACTTACACCCCTAATTTTAATAGATGTTAACTCACACTAAAAGTAAAAGGCTAGGACTGTCATTTGAATCGTAAAAACCTAAATATAAGATTAACACTATACCGCCGAGATTGGCTGGAGTATTCTTTTATTTTATTTTATTTCTAATGTTATTTTAAAGTGTAAAATTGGAGGTCAAAGTCCAGCTGTATAAGTATTTTTAATTTTCTTTTAAATGGGACACATGGCAAATTTTGAAAGGGAGTATCATATGCTGACGTGGTAGTACCGTACTACTCTATAATCTCTCCACATCAACAGCCTGATTGAGCGATTTTGCCCAAACCAACCTTTTGAAAATTTCCTCAACGAATCCAGACGAACAAAAACGATTTTTATGAGTACCTTAATTTTGAGTAAGCTGTTATATTTATTGAGTACCTTAATTTTGAAACTTTTTGCCCAAAACATACAACCCAAGCTACAAATCCAATCAAGTCTCCTTTTATCAGACAAAATTCCAAGAGTTTTAGGTGTTTGTTAAAACAAGTAATATAGGGGGTGTGACTATAATAAATCAAACATGTGGGTTCTCACTGCCATTATGCCAAACCTCAAAGGGTCTAAATGAAATGCTCCCTACAATTATAGTCAAATTTTGATTAAACTACCTAATTGTTTACTTTGATCATTAGTAAAATTAGATGTACACATATCCTAACTCAAGTATACCAACAGGTTTTGGGAGGCATGCTGCGTTCTAAAAACAGTATAGATGAATGGCGGTCAATTCAAAAAAGTGAAATATGGAAATTACCAGAAGGTGATAAGAGAATCATGTCAGTTTTGAAGTTGAGTTTTGATAATTTGAAATCACCATCTTTAAAACATTGTTTTGCCTATTGCTCAATATTTGAGAAAGATTTTGAAATTGAAAGGGAGAACTTGGTCCAACTCTGGATGGCTGAAGGATTGCTCCACCCTTCAAGGGATCTAGAGATGGAAGATATAGGAAATGATTATTTTAATATTCTATTGCAAAACTCCTTTTTTCAAGATGTTACAATGGAGACAGATGGAGTTGTTATCACATGCAAGATGCACGATCTTGTGCATGATCTTGCAGAACTAATGTCAAAATCTGATAGAGAAGACAAACTTGACATTAGACATATGGCACCGACTCCTTCTACCATACCACAAGGAATTTCAGAAACAAATGTTGGGAAATTGCGGTCCCTATTTTCAAATGGTGAAGGCCTTAGCAATAGCTTGTCAAGTTTTAATGCTTTACGTGTGTTGAATTTATACAAGGCTAATATTGAGGAGTTGCCTAGTTCAATTGGCAGGTTGAAACACTTGAGGTATTTGGATGTTTCTGGAACAGAAATCAAAGGACTTCCAAAATCTATTGGCAAGCTTTATAATCTGCAGACATTAAGAATGTATGATACAAGGAATCTTAAAAGGTTTCCAAAGGAAATGGAAAATTTGATCAACTTGAGGCATGTTTATTTCGACTATGATAGGGAAGTTCCATTTGGGATGAGACGATTGACTCGTCTGCAAACATTACGTTACTTTAATTTGGATAAGGAAAGGAATCATGGAATTGACGAGTTGGGTGGCTTAAACCAATTAAAAGGTAAACTAATTATCACATCTTTGGAATATGTGAGAGACAAACATGAAGCGGAGAAATCAAATTTAGCAGGGAAAGTAAATATACGAAAGTTGACATTAGAATGGGGGTGGAGGGATGACTGGGAGAGAAACAAGGAGAGTGATGTTGATGTATTAGAAAGTCTCCAACCGAACCCAGAGTTAGAAATCTTAAAGATTGAAAGCTTCATGGGTGTTAAATTAGCATCATGGATGATGATTCTACTCAATTTGAAAAAGATCCGGTTATCCAACTGCAGGGAATGTGAAGAAGTCCCTCCACTCGGCCATTTGCCAAATCTTAGGCATGTTAAATTTGAAAATATGGATAAGCTTAAATGTGTGGGAGTTGAGTTTTATGGTTATAACCATGTTTACGGTGGTGCGGCTTTGTTTCCATCATTGAAAACGTTAGTTTTTAATGATTGCCCAGCTCTAATTGAATGGAAGGAAGTGGATGTGATTACGCCAGCATCGGTGTTTCCCTGCCTTGAGGAGTTGACTTTTTGGACTTGCAGGGAATTGAGAAATGCTCCAAGTTGTTTTCCATCTCGCCAGAAGTTGACGATACATAATATTGACCAGGTCATGGCAATAGAAAATATATGCAGTCAACTAACCACTCTCACTCACCTCAATATTGATGAAGCCACAGAGCTTACTCGTCTGCCAGTAGGGATGCTGGAAAAGAACCAGAATCTTCGGTGGCTGCGTATTTGCGGTTGCAAAAAGCTTAGCCATTTACCTGATGAGCTACACACATTCCGTCTTCTTGAGGAGTTGACCCTAGAGAATTGTCCTAGTCTAGAGTTCATTCCAATTACCACCCAGAGCCAGGGCATGCCATGTCTCCGCAAATTGAAGATTCGGAATTGTGAGAAATTATCAAGCTGGCCGAGTGGGTTGGAATATTGCACCTCTCTTCAGAAATTGCATATTGAAAATTGTCAAAATTTGAGGCATTTACCGGTTGATGCGCTACAGAACCCCGTCTCTCTTGAGAAGCTGTGCACAAAGTATTGCACTAATCTAGAAGCTATTCCCAGTTTAGACAACCTCACATCCCTCCGTGAGTTGTCTATTTGGGTTTGTGATGGACTCACAAGTCTACCGAGGGGGATTCAATCCTGCACATCTCTTAACCGCTTGACAATCAGTGAATGCCACAATTTGATCTCGCTGGCAGATGTTGATGTGTCCAGGTTGCAGTCTCTTTTCTATTTACAAATATTGGATTGTCAGAAATTAAAATATTTGCCAACGGGGCTACGCTCTCTGACGAGTTTGAAATGGATGAGAATCGGTAAGTTTTGGGAGGAGCTCGATTCTTTCCCTGCTTTTGAGCTTCCATCACAAATCCGAAAGTTAGATATCAGAGGGTGGCCTAAGCTCAAGTCTCTGCCTCAAGAAATTCAACACTTGACTACTTGTTTAGAAAAATTGATTATAGATTCTTTCGACAGCATGGAGGCTCTTCCAGAGTGGTTGGGTAACCTTTCATCTCTTATCCGCCTGAATATCTCGGGTTGTAAGAATCTGATGTATCTGCCTACCGTTGAAGTTATGCAACGCCTCACCAAATTAGAAACACTATGGATTAGTGGATGTCCCCGTCTAGCGGAAAGATGCGCCAAGGAGAGCGGCCCAGAATGGCACAAGATTTCTCACATCCCAAATATAATAGGTAATTAATATTCTGATAAAATCAAATCATTAATTAATTGTTTGTTCAATTTCCTTCTTCACTTTTCTTTTTCCGGGTTTAACTACCACAGTTTACGAATCCGAATCTTCAAGTGGTGATTAGGAGTAGCTCAGCTATTCATGTTTTTCATGAATGTGCCTTCGGGGAGTAGCTGCAACTTCCACTTTGAAGCACAAAGTGAGCCTCTTCTTAATTTATTTTGCAGAGCTTTATACTTCCTATGTTGCTTATCCAATCTTCAGAATTTGATGACACTCTTTTGCAGATTTGGGGCTAGCATCCATTTGAAGTGTAAACAGTCCTTAGAAGACGTTTATAAAATTTTGATGAACTGGAGGGTTTACTGGAGTGATGAGGGTACCTTGAAGCTTTCAGTGAACTATCTATTTGTATATGTGAGAATCTGAAGAATCTACCAGCAGTGGAAGCTCTGAAAATTTCCCCAAAATGAAAAGATGCACCGAGGAGAGCCAGAGTCATGTGTACGTTTCTTTCTCAAATCGGAATTTATGATTTGTTTTCTTGTCCTCTCTCACTTTCATCTATTGTTAATTAACTTATTGGCCATTAAGTTTGTTGTCTACTGCAACACAAAGAAGAAGAAGAAGTTGAGGAAAAAAAAAATTAGTTTACTGTAAATTTGAAGGAACGTATTCAACTCATCAGCAGTTTGTTTGGTTTTAATTGCTTCGTTGAAGGAACTATAAATACAACATTGTGTTTTCACAATATTTGTGGAATAACACTTAAGATTGTTGAGGAAAATTAGGTTTGTTAATCTGGAAGACAAACTAATACGTAGAGAACAGGCTAGACCAGTTCAACTCTTGCATGATTTTGTTCCAATTTTTCGGATCTGCAAACAGAAGTTTTTGTTGCTGATGTTTATGTGGTCATGGTGTCTTTGCAACATCTGTAATCCTCTGTTTCATATTTTAATTTTTCTCTCTTTTCCAGGCAAGGAGATACGTGGCATAATGCAGCCAATGGTGTTTTTCCATCTTTTCCAGGCAAATCAGTTGTTGATGTTGATTAACTTTTTTACCTAAAATAATAATCATGATACATGTAGCTAAGCAAATCACTATTTCTGGAAGGTGTTGATTTATTTTCCTTTTTCCTGTTTCTACAGTTAAGGTCCTCTGTTATTTGATAGCATGTCATTTTTACATGCTGTTGCAAGAATCAGGTAAAAGAGTCTTCAGTTATAAGCTGCTTACCATCATTTTAAAAGTTGAAGGCAATTTTGAACATTTATTGCTAAGTTTATCTTGGTGTTATATTGACCAGGCAGAGTCGAGATTGAAGAAGAAACTCATGCATGCGATGTGCGTGTGATCTAGAACTTATTGTTTTGGACAATATGGTAAGCTACTATCGCTTTAGTTTGTCTTCTTGACACTCATTAATAAATAGAGTTATATTCTTATTTATGAGATAACCTACACACAATCATGTCTCTTCAGGAT